TCATTAAGTCTTATTCAACCAAGAACTAAAATTAAACAAGTCGTCTAAAAAAGGGTGCAAGTATCGAACGATACCACGTCAGTAATCGATACCGATACCGCTGTTTGTGGTATCGAATACTGAGTACTCGGTATCGCCCATCACTACTGTTGAGCTGTAACCGCTGCATTTTTCGCAGTCGTTCCTGGTCAGGTCTTAAAGTGTATATATACTCACTTGGATTACAAACACCTAAAAACAGCATTTTGAAGTCCTATTATTCTCATGTCAATGTAAAAAAAAAGCCATGGTCAAACGAGAGTTGACTGGATATTAAAAGCTCTCAACATTTTTTATGAGAGTGCACGATAGTCAACGACTTCTCCACGAAGACTTTCGTTCGACTGCCCAGCCGACTGAATCACCCGTTATTGACCGACCGGCGACCGATGGACCAAATGGACCAATGCGCTAGCCCGGATGAAAGGAGGTCGAGAGCACTGAACTATATATTAAACGTGTATATAGTTCACTGATCGAGAGTGCACGAGAGTTGGCTGTTTTTAATGTTTTCCCAACAGTATTATGTATTCTCTAATCTCTATTGAAGTTAAACCATCGTTAGAACACTCATTAAACCTTTATTTTGTTAATCTAGTCTCTAGAGCTCGAAATGTCTCCCGTAACAATGGTTTGACCCTGGGTTTGCAGCTAATTGACTTGGACTGACGACCGACAAAACTTCTATAAAGTGGTCGACTGACTCGGTTCTCATGTGATCTCCATGAATAAGACTAAACCTAGTCAATTACTACTGACGAACTACAAAGATTGCACGTCACGTGAGAATAGACATGTTTTTATCTGCGACTATTCACTGCCTTAATTAAGGCTGGATCAAGCGTGGATGAAAGTTGAAGAAAGGTAGTTAATCTCGAACTGCCTGTGGTAGTGCGAATAATAATTACAAACTTTGCTCGGTAGAGATGCAAATACTACCCTGGAATTCCAGAGCCTTCGACAGTAAATAATAAATTGAAACGTTGCGAAGGCTCTGGTTCAACGGGGAGATTCTTTGATTAAACCGCGCCAATCACAAAACAGAATTAGTGGCTTTAGTACAGATTCTGTACTAAAACCACTAATTCTGTTTTGTGTTTGGCGCGGTTTAATCAAAGGATCTCCCCGTTGAACCAGAGCCTTCGCGACGTTTCAATTTATTATTTACTGTCGAAGGCTCTGGAATCCAGGGTATGCATGCAAATACCTGAAAAATATATATAAGGAGAAATTCGACGTTTTGAGCAGTTGCTCGGGTGTCGGTTGGCCCGTCGATCAGTAAGTGGATTGGAATCAAACTTAGCCCGCGTGCAGGCCCAAAAGCTAATCTGGCTAAATCAAACTTTAATTTAAAATCTATCAACGCTAAAATGCCTAAAAATATTTACAGCTATTTTGTATTCAAATGTTTTATCTAGTTTCTAAATGATCACGAATCTTCGCTAATTTCAATGGATAAACTGGGCCGTGATTTTGGATCAAATCTACGTTTACGATTTTTCAATTTCTGTCGCAAGTCTGAAACATCAGAGTTCTTCCCCACATCAATGTTATTTTCCAGTCTTTCTTCGTCCATCTTGGCCGAATTAAATAATTTTTTCATGAACCTTTCACTCCCTACACCCGCCGAGCGCCTGCTGAGCCTTGACCGTATGTTAGAGTTCTTTTCCTGGTCTGCGTACAAATTCCCGGTGGGGAATTCGTCCCTGGGCATATCTTCCGATATTAAGACTTTTATCGGTGGTTCATCTATGTCCATTTCTTCATCAGAAGTGTCTATGTTGTTGTCTAAATCTTGATCTAAAATTTCAACCTCAGAACCTTGATTAAGTTCCGTCTTAATTCGACTTTGGTCCGCGTTAATTTTGCGTCTCCTGTGGAAAAAAATAAGAAAACATCTTCTAGTAGGAATGTTCGGTATACCGATATACCGAAAATATCGCTATTGAAACCATGGATAATAAAATAAATGGATAGGAAACTAGCTGACGTGACCTGTTTTTACTGGGATTGATGGCGTGGTTGGATGCCTCAACCTAGTTGAAAATCAAATTCTCAAAAACGGCATGTTTAGCAATAATACAGCTAAACGTTTTAGTCAAAGAGCAAATAAATGTAACCACGCCATTCTACGATGAAAACTCTAAGTATTCCCAGTCAATTTTAGCAAATATTTCAAGCACTAAACAGTGAAAAATACATCGCAAATTTCGTTAAAATTGGGGACGCCAATTTCGTAGCTACAAATGTAAAAAAAATACAAAACAGAGACGAAAAACATTTACCTTGAATACTTTGTCGTGGCTTAGGCATGTTTTTAAAACAGTTAGACCAGTATATGCTTCAATATTACTCTTTTAAAGCGGAAAGTATAGCAAAACAACAAAAATGCCGAGAACTTTGGTAATATTCGCAATACGCGTGACGTCACGTTTTTCAACAAGGTTGCGGCCAATGACGTCAGAAGTTTCCTATCCATTTATTTTATTATCCATGCTGAGTACATTGCAACACAGAAAAAAAATTATGCTTGCTTTGTTCCCTAAAACCCCCCTACGAGACCCTCATTGCCACAGAAACATAGTTTCCTCCTATTGTTTTTCAAAGGAGGGTGGAGCATGAAAGCCAGGGAACATTTGTCAGGAACAGTAGAAAAAAGTCTTAAATTGTTCATTAACAAACAATACTGATATATAGATAAAGCTAACAAAATTTATACTTGCCTTGACGAACTAACTAGGCCTCTTTTGTTTGCTATAAAAAGATTAAAAGGATAAAATTAGTTGAAGAAAACATTCATTTTATCTATTAAAACTATTTTGCTATTAATATTATACTCTTTATCCCGTTCAAAATAAGAATCATTTTGCGAGCGAGTTTTATAACAAACAGGCCTCGAATTTCCCTGAAATCAATCGGCGGCAATGACGTTAAAAATTGCCGTAGAACGTAGCAGCTGTCTACGGCAATTTTGGCAGTTTCCACGGCATTTTTCAAATTACTGTAATAAAACTTTAATTTTATTGTTACTTTGGATTTTTGACAAGCTAGAAACATGTCTAATTTACGCATGATTTGATCAACATCTGAATACAAGTATCAAAGTAGTAATGCACAGTGAATAGTATAAAAATTACACTATAGGCAAAAAATTGCCGTCGTTGCCGCAATGATCCACGGCATTTTGTTCTCCTTCTACGGCAAATGCCGCGATAAAATTCGAGCCCTGATAACAAATTACGAGCGTACCTTTCCGTTTCTGCTGTTCAGGTCGGCCGTGGATGAGATAATAAAAGCTTCGTGATCCAGCACCTTTCGCTTTTTTATCCCCTGTGGTCGCGTGCCGCATCAAGAGTTGTTTTGACTTTGGATGTTTCACGCCAATCTTCCAAATATTTTCCAACTGTGGACCGTCTTCATCTATACAGAAATTACACACAATGTTTGGATCGAGAGTGATTCAACTAGACACGCAAAAATCTCACATCTTGTAACAAGTCTGCCAACAAGCCGTCAACAAGATGTATTCGTACTGCTTGTCACAAGTTGTCAACGGGTTTGGAACGACTTGTTGACAACTTGTAACAACCTTGTCGAAATTATCAGACTTGTTGCAAGGTTTCTCTGACAAGTCCGTTACATGCTTGGTATAACAAGATTGTTACAACCTTGTGTTAACAACCTTGTAACATCCTTGTTATATCATGGCTGTAACAAACTTGTTAGCACAGTCTTGTAACATGGCTGTAACAAACTTGTTAGCACAAGTCTGCCAACAAGCCGTCAACAAGATGTATTCGTACTGCTTGTCACAAGTTGTCAACGGGTTTGGAACGACTTGTTGACAACTTGTAACAACCTTGTCGAAATTATCAGACTTGTTGCAAGGTTTCTCTGACAAGTCCGTTACATGCTTGGTATAACAAGATTGTTACAACCTTGTGTTAACAACCTTGTAACATCCTTGTTATATCATGGCTGTAACAAACTTGTTAGCACAGTCTTGTAACATGGCTGTAACAAACTTGTTAGCACAAGTCTGCCAACAAGCCGTCAACAAGATGTATTCGTACTGCTTGTCACAAGTTGTCAACGGGTTTGGAACGACTTGTTGACAACTTGTAACAACCTTGTCGAAATTATCAGACTTGTTGCAAGGTTTCTCTGACAAGTCCGTTACATGCTTGGTATAACAAGATTGTTACAACCTTGTGTTAACAACCTTGTAACATCCTTGTTATATCATGGCTGTAACAAACTTGTTAGCACAGTCTTGTAACATGGCTGTAACAAACTTGTTAGCACAAGTCTGCCAACAAGCCGTCAACAAGATGTATTCGTACTGCTTGTCACAAGTTGTCAACGGGTTTGGAACGACTTGTTGACAACTTGTAACAACCTTGTCAAAATTATCTGACTTGTTGCAAGGTTGTTCTGACAAGTCTGTTACATGCTTGGTATAACACGATTGTTACAACCTTGTGTTGACAACCTTGTAACATCTTTGTTATATCATGACTGTATCAGACTTGTTAGCACAATCTTGTAACAAGGCTGATAATGCCATCAAGCTTGTTACAAGTTGTTAACAGCTTGTTTCAAACTTGTTACAACAAACTGGGAACAAGCAGTGCGAGCACAACTTGTTGACAGCTTATGAACAGACTTGTAACAACTTGTTTGCAGACTTGTTACAAATTGTGCGTTTTTACATGTGGTTGTTACAAATCTGTTCACAAGCTGTCAACAAGTTGTGTTCGCACTGCTTGTTCCCAGTTTGTTGGAACAAGTTTGGAACAAGCTGTTAACAACTTGTAACAAGCTTGATGGCATCATCAGCCTTGTTACAAGACTGTCTAACAAGTTTGTTACAGCCATGATATAACAAGGATGTTACAAGTCTGATAATTTCGACAAGGTTGTTACAAGTTGTCAACAAGTTGTTCCAAACCCGTTGACAACTTGTGACAAGCAGTGCGAATACATCTTGTTGACGGCTTGTTGGCAGACTTGTTACAAGATGTGAGATTTTTGTGTGTGTAGTCTAGTACCTGAAGTTGCACCCTCTCAATATGTAGTTTCCTGGGGTTATTGTCACCACATACGCTGGCACAGACCGAACTTACACAAAATTTGCCAATAGATGGGTTTCACAAGGGCACTGGGTTTAGCTGGGTTTACAAAGCTCTGGTTTCGCCAAGCACTGGCGTACAGCAGATGTTGGTCAACCTGCAGTTATCAGAGTGACAAAATGTGGATTCTTTCATTATATGTAGTAGTCTTGTATTTGGAGGCAAATGAATAGAATTGTCGGAGATGTGGTTTCATTTTCTTGCTCCTATAAATTTCAACATTTATAAAGTTGAACACCATCTGCTGTCCTGTAATGCTTCAAATACTTCAGCTTTATTGCGAGGAATATATTTACCACAGATTACATACGAAACATATTACGGGCAGTAGTTACAGTTTGTGGCAGGGAATGAAAACAGGACAAAAGTGTGTCAACATAAAAATTGTGTCAACATACTGATTCCAACATCCTCTGCAGGGGTGAATTTTGTTCCCATATTTGCAAATGCTCTTTTGGCAGTATTCTCGTCATCCCAGACGACAACACCTACAATGAAGATGAAAAACTTAAAAACACATGCACTAACCACCGTGTCACTCCTATTTACTCATTTGATCCAAATTTAAGTAGAAAACACGACATAAAGTGGACATACATGAAATATCGTCAATCCATTCTATCGAATCAGGCGTATAATCTTGAAAATAATCAAACACATCCTTCGTGCTCATTTCACTTACGCCAAACAATAAAATAGCATCAGGTCTGGGTTCCGCATCTACAAAATATAAGCGTATGAAGTTTATGAACAGCTTGGAAACAGGTAGCAAATAGGTTGTGAAAGGGTCATGTGAATAGCTTATAAACCAGCTGCTGTCCTGTAAGACAAAAATCATGAGTAAAACTAAATCAAACAATTTCTTAACTCACCTTGATTTTGCACTGGGAGGTTTTGAACAGAGCTGTAAATCAGAAAAGAAAATTCAGCAAGGAAAGAGGATAAATCAATAATGTCAACAAATGCCTCGTTTTTAAAACACCACCTTCAAAATTATTACAGTGAAAATACAAAAAGTGTCCCACTTCCGCTTCTGTAGTTTGTTGTGATTTACTGTAATTTGTTCTGTTTTTCTGTAGCGATTACCGATTTATCGGCAAATACCACGATAAAACTTAGTTTTCTCTACTTTTTAAATATGATAATTTGTAGCAAAGGGAAATAATACATTTTTCGTTAGTTTCATTGCATAAAAGGTACGAAATTTAAATTTTATCGCAGTATTTGCCGATAAATCGGTAATCGCTACAGAAAAACAGAACAAATTACAGTAAATCACAACAAACTACAGAAGCGGAAGTGGGACACTTTTTGTATTTTCACTGTAATGACATTAATTTAATAAATCATAAACAAATTACAAAAGCTTACCTAGGTAGTGCTTCAACGTCTGTAGTATTTTCTGATTTTTCTTTTGTTTGAAGACCAAATCGTCTTCCTCTTTTCAATCTCCTCTCCTCTGCTTCCTGTTCACATCACATAGTTAGTCATTGGGCGTTGGTTACTTTTTTGTGGAAAACAGAGTCTTTTGGGTACCCTCATACACCTTAATTTCAACCCAAAAATCAGGGAGCAATTATAGAATAACCTGGCCACTATTCATTTTTCATTTAAACACACAAAAAAAAACATATTGTTTCAAAACAGTTCAAATGTTCAAATGAAAATGTTTTGTTACATATTTTGAGACAATCGTTAACATATGGTTTTCAAAAAAAAATGTAAAAACATACTTTATATCACACCAATCAGTTCATTAATCATCCTATTTTAATGTATAAAGTTTAAAAATCTGAAAAATCTTGTAAATAGATTAACTTTTCTTTAAATACTCTCACAATTGTATATATTTTCGTTATCATATTATGTACCGGTACTATTTTGATGACATCATGAAATTATACTAAGTAAAAAAAAGTTTTGTTATAACTAGGGGTCTTAAAATAAAAGCTCAAAAGGGTTTCTAAAAGATCTCTAGCCCTACATATAGATTATAAAAATGTAAATAGTTAAATTTTATTGTACTTTGGAAAATTTGGCGAAATAAAAAAAAAATCGGTTACAAGTTTACTAAATGTAAGGTTTCCAAATAGATCAGATGAGTATTTTATAATCTTGGTAAAATTGGAGGAGATCAGCATATGTTTATTAGCCTGGTAAATGAACTCATTTCGTAAGTTCATATCCATCTGTAGAACGCACTTACAGACAAACATGAATTTTAGATATGTGTTAGTACCTTTGATGTAACATCAAACCCTGTGATAAAATTACCACTGTCTTTATTCTGATATTTCTTTACCTTAAATTAATGAAGAAAAAAAATGTTTGGAGAAATTGAAGTTTAATTTCACTCATTTTAAGATCATGCATGCACTTCATATTGAAACTATTAAGCCGCAATGCACCCAAATGTGCCAGATGTTACCATTTTACTCTGTCTAACACCAGACAATTTTATTCGTCAAGAAGAGAGTTTTGCATGCATTAATGGTAGAAATATGTGTATGATTTATAGTACCACTGGCAGATGATCCGTCTGGATCAATATGGTCCGTTGGATCAAAATCATCTGTCAAGATCAACTATCTGGAAACTTGTGCATATAAATTGTACTCACAGATTATCCACCTTAAGTGTATAAATACAGTATCAAACAAACTATAATTTAAATATCAGATATGACTTGTTCCCAAAACCATTGCCAGTATAGATCACGCTATTTTAGCTAGCTAGTTTGTCCAGATAGCCTGTCTTGTGTTTATACCAAGACTGATGATCAGTCAGACAAATGTGACAGGTAATCTATCACTGCTGCATATCGCACAATTGATTCATATGAAATCTTTTCATGTACTTTATCATAATAATTTCTACACTTCTTCAACATGGCCAGGTGGCCCAACTCGGGCCAGGTGGACAACGAAAAAAACGGCCATATTAGAATTTACAGATGCTTGTATTACGTTTCGAATCTAACAAAAACTAATACTACAGTCTACAAGTCGTCTAACATATATCACTACACAATAAGTAAACTTACAGGCACATTGAGTAAATCAGAGGCAATTTCTTCGTCCAAAGGTACTTCTACTTTCAAATCTTCGAATTCCATTTTGTTTCAAATTTTGATTTTTCACTTTTTGTTGCAAAACAGAGCCCGTGATGCGTTTTTCATGTAAACATAATTATAGTGGTTTTACCATAACGTCACAAAGCGATCAACGACGTTATCCTAATCTGACTAATCTTAACACTAATCCACACCCTAATCTCCTTAATCCCAAACCTTCTGAATAGGACAGGGATCTCAGGATCTGAACACTATCATTCTGTTACGGAAACCCCAGAGCGGAAACCCCATCAGCACTAGCATGCAGCGGATGGTTCTCAAACCTACAGTTATCAGAGTGAGAAAATGTTCATTCTTTGGATTTTGGAGGCAAAAAAATAGATTACTATCCATCAAATACAAAACAACTACATATGATTGAAATATAAACCAACCAATACCAAGAATCCTAGCCTTCTGTGCAAGGGATCCCTTCTGTGCAGGGGATCTTTACAGAGGTTCTCAGAATTATCATGAACGTATAAATTTAATACTATGACCCTGACTCGTCCACCAGTCGCTCATCCCGCGTTGAATGATGGGACTGCATCAATATTTTGGTGAGAGCGTTCCAGTCTAGTGTTCCCATGGGCGTGCTATTGTTCAAGCCAAAGCGTCCATCTTGCAGGCTTCACATGCATGATCTTAATTTTTTCAAAGGAAATTGGAGGGACTTTGGGAGAGCCAGATTATGAGCATACGACTCTTACATGTAAATCAACTTTAATTAACGAGACAATCGACAAATTTAATGAAAAATACATCAAAAGATTCAAAACAAAACAACATCTACATTTACAAATTATCACTATGAAACATATTCAACATTTAAAACTACAACTGTTGCTTATAGTAAATGTATGTCTATCGCAGCAGAAACTGCCATTTTAAAATGTTCAAATTAAGCAACCATAAAGCTGCCAGCTACTTCACATTAGCTATGTGCATACAGGTTCGCTGTACACAAGTTGTTTGGGCTTTTTGAAGTTTTGTTGTTTCGGATACATTGTGTTTATTCTGGTGACTCAATAAGGTGCATCTCTTCGATCGCGTCGTCTGTCACCCCTGGAAAGAAAGAAAATGAAATACTGATCAGTGTTTTCACTTCCTCCCAATGTTACGGTGTTTGAGAAAATATTTCTTGATAACAGTGTACTGTTTAAACGATTAATTACTTAATTTCCCCAAAGTTATATTGAGACAATGAGCTCACTGAGTGCATAGTCTTTCGAGACATGGTCTGGAAACTCAGTAAACGTCAAAGCGGCTATAATGAGCTGGGGGTTTATGTTGAGCCGTACCTTACACCGTGCACATCCTTTGTTTTAGGTTTATTAATATTTAAATATCATGGTTGAATGACTGAACTGAAACGTTGCTATTGGATGATTCGTTCATTATACTGAAATACAATGTGTTCATTGACCATGCACCGTGCACAAAACAGCATAAACGCGAACAAAAAGATAGAACAAGACTTCAGCGGAGTTTCCAAACCATGTTTTGAAAGACTATGCTGAGTGAAACCAATAATCTTCCTGCTAACTCGGCATCCCGACTCATGGATTCCCGTAGCCTCGCATTTCGTGTACAACTACTGGATATTAGTTTTAATTCTAAATCCCGGCTAACACTGTCAAAGTTTCTGTGATCAAAGTTGTAATTTTGCAAAGGTAAATGCTAAGTTTTGAAGGATTTGTAAGAAATGTTTGAGGGAACTGATTCGTTGTTTTAAGTAAACACTCAGTCAGTTCCTGGACAATTTTCCCTAAATTTACCTTAGTTTGCAAATTTCCTACTGTGATCACAGAAACTTCGATGGTGCAAAGCAGGCTTGATAAACTGGTCCAATTTACAGGCGATGTCATGATCGAGTATCAAATCAGAGAATTGTAGTTATTTTGCCTTCACTGTAGTTCAGGTTTACATTTCTCATCACTTTTGAGATGGAGGACATTGACATACCGTTACGACCTATTTGCTTAATGGTACTTACGCGCCATCTCTACCCCCTCCATATCCACCCCCTCGTCCTCCTCGTGATCCCCCACGACCACCACCACGTCCCCCATCTCTGTATCCACCGCCATAACCACCACCGCCATAACCTAGAGGTGGAAAATTTGACAAATATTTAATTAGTACTTGTTTCGCTCAGGACTATTGCCCGCGAAAAGAATCAATCGCCTTTGCTAAAGCTTGAGAGTTTTCGCTGGTCTTTCCACCCTAATGAAAAGAGTTAGATTCTCTTTCTCTGTGCGAGAAAATTGACTCCTTGGAAGGCGAGATCATTTTCATGCAAAAATTTTGATGAGAGTTGACGAGGGTTTTCGATACGCACGCAGTAATATTCAGTCCACTCTCACGCAACTCTTGTTCTCGTTTGACCGGGGCACGAGAATTGTGAAAACTCTCATGCAAACTCTCAACTCTCATCAAGTACATCAACTCTTGTTCTCGTTTGACCGGGGCATGAGAGCTGTGAAAACTCTCGGTTACAAAGTTTCGCTTGCCTCATCCTCGTTTCACCCAGCTTTAGATTCAGGGTTTCATACTCGACTCTCTATACTTATGTCAATAATTGTTTGTGATGTTACTCTGAGTGATCATCCACACCGGAAACTGAAAAGTTAGCTTGGCCACGGTGGGAATCGAACCCGCGACCTTTGGGAGAGCGACCTTCCGGGCGGGAAACGTATTCTTATGCAGCTCGATCTCTTCCGAAAATTAAGGCTATGTCTTAATTGTATAAAGCGTTTCAAATTAAGTCATTGCCTTAATTTCAAACATCACCCCAACCTCTAACCCCCCTAACCCTTAATTAACCCTAATCTAATCTTAGTTTAACCCTAATCCAATCCAAATCTGGCGACCTTTTTTTTTAAAAAAAAGTCCCACCCCTGCGCGACAAGCCTCCGTTAGTCTGACCATTACTTTTATAGTAAGAAACCTTGCCTAATGATTGTGGTATTAATAAATTAAGGCTATGCCTTAATTTTGGAGAATTTCAAAATTAAGCCATATCCTTAATTTTCAAAAGTTTAACAATTAAGACATAGCCTTAATTTTGAGAAGAGATCATGTTGTCTTATGAAAATAAGATCCAAGCATAACACAAAACTCTAAATAGAGCCATACACAATATCATAATAGATCCTTGTCATTGTAATTTTACTGTTAGACTGAAGATGTCTTGAATGGACCTATTTCCTATTACCTAATGAACAAAAATTTTATCACAGCTTGAAAGAGCATCACAAAATTAATAACATTCCAAGTTTCGTTGCGAAATGTTGTAAAATGCGGATAATATAGCCCTGCGAAGTTTGCCGTTTTTCAGTCATTTTGTATTACGCACGGGAAATTGATACCGCTTTCTGAAAAAAAGGCATCAATTTCCCGTGCGTAATACAAAATGACTGAAAAACGGCAAACTTCTTGTCTAGATGTACATTTTGTTCATAATTTAGGTAATAGGTCCATTAAGACGAAACGTCACTTTCGATAAACACACCAGTGTTCTTCTTCACGGAATACACTTACCACCACCACCACCACCACTGCCATCATCAGGTTTCGCAGTGTTACATCGGTTACATGTCGTTCTTCGCGCGAAATTCATGTTACTACAGCTTGGGCAATCCCAGTCACCTCCGCGATCACCACCACCACCGCCACCGCCACCACCGCCGCCGCCACCACGTCCTCCGCGGAAACCTCCCCCGCGTCCGCCACGACCTCCACCTAAAAAGAGTATAACACAGGATTGAATCAGGATGATCTTATTGTGTTAATGCATGTATCTCTGAGTGGGGTTTGATTCCTGCAATATGTTGCTATGTGATTATAATTTCACCTCAGTCACATGTATATATGTATTAGAGGTGTGCATCAGATCGGATTGGACGTTTATAATCCGACAATGGATCATTTGCATTATAGACTAAATTTTGATCTAAACCAGTCTAGACAAAAATGTCATCACAGCTTGAAAGAGCATCACAAAATTAGTAATATTCCAAAGTTTCGTTGCGAAATGTTGTAAAATGCGAATAATATAGCCTTGGGAAATTTGCAATTTTCAGTCATTTTGTATTACAAACGGGAAATTGATGCCCCAACACCCAACACCCGTGCGTAATACAAAATGACTGAAAAACGGCAAACTTCGCAAGGCTATATTATCCGCATTTTACAACATTTCGCAACGAAACTTTGGAATATTACTAATTTTGCGATGCTCTTTCAAGCTGTGATGAAATTTATTGTCTAGATCAAAATTTAGTCTATAATGCAAATGGTCCATTGGCTAAGGTTTAAAATCCGATCCGAAATTGTCTAATCCGAATCCGAGCTTTGAAAAAGAATTCCAATCCGAATTCGAAGAATCCTTTAATAAAATAGATTTCTCATTCAAGTTGAAATATAGTCTATTTTGGTATTATACAAAACAAATAATGAATGTTTTTTCGTGCATTGGTAAGAATATTTTCATTAGGTGAAAAATGGAATGTTCCATTCAACTCGGCTGTCGCCTCGTTGAATGGAACATTCCATCTTTCACCTAATGAAAATATTCTTACCATTGCACTCATAAACATTCATTATTTGTATACTATCTAACAATTTTAAATTGTTTATACAAAAAGTTGAATTGATTGTGCTTCCTTAGCTTCGCGCGGTGAGAATGCGGGCTCTAGCAAACCCTGCAGGATTTTTCCAGGTACTAAGGCTTCCTCCTGAAACAATACTGGAGCAATAAAAGTGGATAGAAGGAGCCTGTTCCGTCAGTTCACTGGTCTGAGACAGAAGCTTGTGAATAAAAGTGAATGAAATTGAAAAACATACAAAGAATGGACCATTTGCATTATAGACTAAATTTTGATCTAGCCAAGTCTAGACAAAAATTTCATCACAGCTTGAAAGAGCAACACAAAATTAGTAATATTCCAAAGTTAGTTTGCGAAATGTTGTAAAATGCAGATAATATACCCTGCGAAGTTTGCCGTTTTTCAGTCATTTCGTATTACGCACGGGAAATTGACAGCCCATGCAATCGGGTGTTGGGGCATCAATTTCCCGTTTGTAATACAAAATGACTGAAAATTGCAAACTTCGCAAGGCTATATTATCCGCATTTTACAACATTTCGCAACGAAACTTTGGAATATTACTAATTTTGTGATGCTCTTTCAAGTTGTGATGAAATTTTTGTCTAGACCAAAATTTAGTCTATTGCGCAAGTGGTCCATTCAGTGCACATTTTAAAACGTTTCACAGTGTGTGTGTAGGGGGGGGGGGGGGGGGGGGCGGGATCACGATTATGGCCCAGTGTGGGTCCTCTAGAGTAAGACGTTTGTTCCCACCTCCTCGTCCACCGCCGCCTCTATCCCCCCGCATCTTCTTTGGAACAAATTTCTCAGCAAATTCAACTTTGATATTCGCACCCATGAAATCTTTGGCTGGTAGCAAAGGAAAAAGGAAAAGATTTAAATTAAATCTCAGCTAGTTGTCTTAGTTTGTCAAGTAAGAATTTAGAATCAAGATCAGTACTAACCATTAAACCACTCAATGGCAGCGCTTGCTGTGGGTGGATCATCATAGGTGACTGTTGCTTCACCCTACATAATGAAAACAAGATTATTTTTATTGTAAATAATATATAGTAAATATTTTATTGTAAATAGTAAATAATATATAGTAATATACTAGCAACTTTATTTGAAAATTATTTCTATATAAATACATAAAAATATACACCCACTAAAAATCTTCAAAATGAATATTGTCTATAGTTTTGTGCGTCCATTGTTATTTTAAAAAGGGTATAGTGTTCTATTCTTACAGTGTTCTATTCTTATATTATATATTATATATTATATAGTATAGTGTTCTATTCTTATATTTTATTGTAAATAGTAAATAATATATAGTAAATATTTTATTGTAAATAGTAAATAATATATAGTAAATAATATATAGTAAATACTTTATTGTAAATAGTAAATAATATATAGTAAATATTTTTACTGTAAATAGTAAATAATATATAGTAAATAATATATAGTAAATATTTTATTGTAAATAGTAAATAATATATATTAAATATTTTTATTGTAAATAGTAAATAATATATAGTAAATATTTTTATTGTAAATGGTAAATAATATATAGTAAATATTTTTATTGTAAATAGTAAATAATATATAGTAAATAATATATAGCAAATATGTTATTGTAAATAGTAAATAATATATATTAAATATTTTTATTGTAAATAGTAAATAATATATAGTAAATATTTTTATTGTAAATAGTAAATAATATATAGTAAATATTTTTATTGTAATAGTAAATAATATATAGCAAATATTTTATTGTAAATAGTAAATAATATATATTAAATATTTTTATTGTAATAGTAAATAATATATAGTAAATATTTTTATTGTAAATAGTAAATAATATATAGTAAATATTTTTATTGTAAATAGTAAATAATATATAGTAAATATTTTATTGTAAATAGTAAATAATATATAGTAAATATTTTAATGTAAATAATTTTTGTAAATAGTTAATAAATTTTTTTTAGCTTTTCTTCTCAACTGTAAACCTCATCAATTCTGTATATACACTACAAGTCAAGGTATTGACTAAAACCATCTATCTGTCTATCTGTATATCTATTTGTCCGTCTGTCTGTCTATCTAGTTCCATATTGTGAAACTTTGATTACCCATGTATTTCACAAAGGTAACTGCAACACATGCTTCTATTTTTCCAGATTATGGCTGCAAATGAAACCACGGGACTCACCTTGGATTCTCCAGAGGGCGTACGATATAACCAAATCTTCTTGCCTTGCGTCTTTTTGTCCATCTAAAAAATGTTATTGATTGTATCACTGTGGTTGTATGAATCTCGAGAGTTAGTTTCTGACAGTTATCAATTGACCACTTGCGTAATAGACAAAATTTTGATCTCAACAAGTCTAGACAAAAATTTCATCACAGCTTGAAAGAGCACAACAAAATTAGTAATATTCCAAAGTTTCGTTGCGAAATGTTGTAAAATGCGGATGATATAGCCTTGCGAAGTTTGCCGTTTTTCAAACATTTTGCATTACGCGGGGGAAATTGACATACCAATACCCTTTGGGTCTGTCAATTTCCCGTTTGTAATACAAAATGACTGAAAAACGGCAAACTTTGCAAGGCTATATTATCCGCATTTTACAACATTTCGCAACGAAACTTTGGATTATTACTAATTTTGTGATGCTCTTTCAAGCTGTGATGAAATTTTTGTCAAGACTTGTTGAGATCAAAATTTGGTCAATTACTAACAATAAAAGGAAGCTGATATCAACGGAATCATCTCAAGCAATACAGATGTGCAATCTGACTCTTAGTCAGAATGCATTCCATACCTTGATGATACCAATGGAGCCAAACGTGTTTCCAATATCTTCAACAGTTGCGTCAGGTGGGAGACCAGAGATAAAGATAGTGTCGTCCTGGTACTCCTTGGGCGCACCTAAAATTATTTCAATATCGTCAAACTATGAATAGCCTGGAATCGCGAGGGGCTCTTATTTTCCTGAATCTGTAGCCTGCGCTCAGGAGCAGCATGGCCGCCATGCCTTAAAACTTCCCTGACACCAAAACCTCTCTGCACCCAGGCTGAACGATGAATCACCAGTTTTTAAAATGTAATTTTTATCATACACACCTGCTCCTTGGTCTGAATGACCACCACCTAGAAATGGAGAGAAAATCATCAGAACATCTGGCTTGAAAAATTGTCATTTCACCAGTAACAATGTTACAATAGATCGAGGGTGCAGATTAATGCTCAGAGTTAATATATTCAGGGGACGTGGCAACCGGGGAGGCTTGTGTGTGTGTGCACCACCAATTATTCTAAGTATTAAAAAGTTGGTCAAACAAAGATTTAGTGTTGGTCAAAAGATATTGAAAGAAAATGTGTTTAAAAATTTCTCAGATTCGAAACGTTTTATAGAAACACAAAACAGTTGGTCATTATCATATGACACATACCCAATCCTGATACTGTTGCCACGCCCCTGTATCCAATCCACATTGCCTCCCCAAATGTTAAGTGTTAACAAATACACTCTTTCGACAATTATGTCAGAAATCCCTCTTTGGCCCGGAAACCTTGGCCTCATAAATTGACCATTTGCGTAATAGACTAAATTTTGATCTAAACAAGTCTAGACAAAAATTTCATCACAGCTTGAAAGAGCATCACAAAATTAGTAATATTCCAAAGTTTCGTTGCGAAATGTTGGGCTGTCAATTTCCCGTTTGTAATCTAAAATGACTGAAAATTGCAAACTTCGCAAGGCTATATTATCCGCATTTTACAACATTTCGCAACGAAACTTTGGAATATTACTAATTTTGTGATGCTCTTTCAAGTTGTGATGGAATTTTTGTCTAGATCAAAATTTAGTCTATTACGCAAGTGGTCAATTGTGAGCGAATAGCCTTTCAAAGTCTTGATTCATGAGAGCGAGGCTCCCAGGCCAAAAAGTAATCATTATGTCATTCTAGACAAATATACACCTTTTCAATAATTACGTCATAAATAATTTCTTGGCCTGGGAGCCTCGCTCTCATGAATCACGACAAAAGGCAAGATTATGAGAATATAAATTAAGAATATACAGTATATGGACCCATCAAAAGTTATACTTATAACGACTAACCAACCGATGACACAGTAAATTGGTTTAACACGAATTTATACGAATCTAGTTCAATCATGCTTCGTATATAAAGGGCAAAATACTTTGTTCGAAATATTTTATATTTGACATTTATGAATTTACGTTTTCAACCACCATTCATTTCTACGACTACATTATAATACACCGCGATGTAATATCGAAGACTGTTATTCAAACTGTTTGGAACACGCTTGCATTATTGAAAATTGAACCAACCGGATATATACACCATACACACTGTAACACTGATGCTATATTTGTGTACATATTGACCAGTACACTTTGGCATGGTAGACTGTGTTTTCACACAATGCAATGCACATTTATACCATGACCGCATTTTCAACTACAAATTAGAGATGTATGGTGTACCGATATATCAAAAACAACGGTATTAGTAAGAAGTAGAGATTTCGCATTAAGAACAATGCCTGTCTACGCTCGCACGGAAATGCCTTCAGAATTATCGCAGTAGTATGCTGATAATATCGGTATAATTTCTCTGGTATATGAACACCGGAAATTTCTCATACCCAGATACATTTAATTGACCGCATTTTACCAGATTTAACACTATCTACCATATATACCGACAATATTCACCAACATGTATTATTTGTACTCGTACAATTGACCACATATTTTGACCATATTTTAACCGCAGATAATTTGACCGCATTTTACTAAGCATATTCCGGCACATTTTCTACCTGCAAAATAACCAGATATTTGAATCGGCAAAACCGCAAATCTACCATGTCATTTGTTAGACCCGGACAACACTCAATGAACGAACACAAATGGTTATCAAATGATGAAATGGAAAAAAGGTGGTAAAGATCTTGCCTGTTGCTTTGACTTACCCGACCCGTAACCTCCAGAATTTCCACCATCAGATCTGTTACCACCTCGACCTCTGTTAGACCAATAATGCACATGACGTAATCACACGGGGCAAAGTTAGGGTGAGGCTATTTTTATAAGAAACCAAAAACCGGCTGGACAACCAAGTGAATCTCACACTCGATTTATCCATCATTGTTGGGGCGCTGCCTCTCGCAAGTCAGAGAGTGCCACACAGCGTAATGGTAAATTTACATCCAAAATTTTGAAAAGTCACTTTTGACATTGTTTTAATTGTCTAGTTTCTTTGACGAGGGAAGACATTACCACAGAAAATGGCCAATATTCGGCCACATGAGAAAGGCTAATTTACAGTCAAAATGGAAATATCTGCACACTTTGGTTACTGTAGTTTGTTGTGTGATACTGTATTTCTGGAGAAGCTCGAAAAAAATTTACCGACAAGAAGCAGCATATTCTCGACTAATGTTTGGTTGCATTATCTTGGATGGAATATGCATTGGCTAATCAATAAATTCCACAACAGCTATTAGTTATATCTTAATGCACGATTTTTGAACAAACATTTTTTCAGCAGCTACAAAAATACAGTATTACACAACGAACTACACAAGCGGAAGTGTGCAGATATTTCCGTTTTGACTGTAAAAACATGCACAATGCTACTTGCACAAGACTTTAGTTTAAAAATGACAGTTACTGAATAGAAACATTCCAGACTGAATAGAAACATTTCTGACAAAAAATGTACAAGCCTGATTTCATCGGTTATCCAGAAGAATAGCGGTATTTTTTTTTGGTTTATTAATTAACTGCCTCACCCTAAGTACAATAATATAACGAGGGTTTTGCATATCTACAGGTAACCCCTTGGATGACCCACTATCCTCGGTAGTACTTTAGCAAAATAATCTTAGTTAATTAAAACACTTTTCCAAAAAACATATGGCCTTGTCCATTAAGCCTGGTTTCCATATGGTCGTAAACAGTGGTGTAACTATTATGGGTTCAGCCCGGGCGAACCCGGGGGCCCCCAACCCCAATGGGGGCCCCCAGGCTCAGGCTGTTGAGCAAAAACATTGGCCAGGGAGGCCTTTGATATATTACAATGTCGTTTTCTGACCATCAGAATTCTGTAAAGTCTCTCCCCAAAGTCCAGGAAATGGCATTTCAGACAGTCTAGATTCAAACATTTCATGCCCTGGACCCACTAGAAAACTTGTGAATATACGGTGCTCAACTCGTGCCTTCGGCACTTCTACTAGGGGGGCCTTTGAAAATTTTAAACCGGGGGCCCCCTGATATAACATTATGCCACTGGTCTTAAAAATAGAGTCACAATCTTTCTCAACGGCCTGTATATAATAGTTTATACCTGTAAACCACATATAAATCATACGTATTCTCTAGTTATGATCACTCTGCATATATTATCAGTTCTAAAATGTTGTATTTCAGCTGATCAGAAAGACTGCGACTCAATTTTTACGACCGTTATGAGTTACGACCATACGGAAACCAAGTCTTAGCCTTGCTTTCATGATGCAGAAGACACAATGGAAACCTTAGATTAAGAGCCATTTATCTTGTTACTGATGGAAAAAATTGGGTAGTTATCTTTCATGATGACAGAGTTATACATTACCGACTATATTTACTGTCGATGCAATGGAAGTGTTGATAAAATATTGCACCAATTCCTTTCCTCAAGTTGATCAATTCATTTGATAGAAAATTGATCAACTTCCTGTTACTTTTAGATGAGCCAATTAGATTTCGTTTCAGAACCGATTGACCAATAGGAAACGCACAGGAAGTAAAAAGAAATTTGAATTCGTATGAATTGATCAACTTGAGGAAATGAATTCATGCAATATTTTATCAACACTTCCATTGCATCGACAGTAAAACAATATAACAAGATAAAAAGTCCTAGCGCCAAGGCCATATATATGAAAGATATACTACAATAAACCTTTAATTAAAGTTGGCAAAAACTGACCAGCATTTATTTTACTCTGCAAAATTCCACTTTGCAAATGTCAGAGACATCGGAGATATTCATAAATACTATGAATAGAGTTATCCCAAGTTTTAAAATTGTATTTTTAATACCAAAAAACCCAAGTCAAGTTCTCTTTGCTAGAGATTGATTGACAGTCAAAACTAGAGATCAGGGATGGATTTACTGGGGGGAGGGTGCTATTTTTCATGATAATGCAAAAAAAATATTAGAGACAAATTGACATACAGTAGAGCTGCTCCCGATTAATCGATCAATCGATTATTTTTCCATAATCGATTATGCTTAAACAGCATAATGCATGTCTCTTGTGTGAAGTGGTAAAGAGCGCGAGAATGTGTACAATCTATAATTGTGATTTTAACGTTCATTTTAAACAGATATTTTAAACATTTATACTGACTGGTGCAATCCCCAAAAATTTAGTAAAAAGTTTAATTACAATTTACCAACCTGTCAAACCACCATGGGCTAGTCTTAAAAAACTCATTAATAATTCATGAAGAAAACACAAAGAAAAATCATAAGCGTGTCGTATCTGTATATGTGATACAGATTCATGTTGATTTACATAAATTTTAACTTTGATTTTCTCGTCTTAGACAACGTTTATTTTTAAAATTACTTCGCCAATGAACTCATAAGATGAGTCCTTTTTTCAAAGCCATTTACAACATTTGCGTCTGTGTTGTATCGGATATACAAACTCTCACCTTCGGCTCGAGTTTGTATATCCGATACAACACAGCCGCTCATGTTGTAAATAGTACATATTAAAATTAATTATAAATTAATTATCAATACGATTAATCAATATTAATCAATTGTTGACAACTATTAATCTGCTATGAAAATTAACCAATGGGAGCAGCTCTAAATACAGTAATTTGAGTAATAACATGATGATAAACGAACTGTGAACAACAATTATAGTTCAAATACGGTAGTCAAGCAAGTACTGCTGTATGTTGATGGCGGGCGGCACATGTGACCGACACAACTCTGCACCAGAGCTGGCAGAACACTTCACCAGATCATGCTGGACCATCCCCACTATAGACTTGCTCCAAGTCTCTCTTTCATTGTCATATCGGTCCACTATAGTGTGCATTACATGACCTAGTACAGAGGGGTGGAGCGAGAAAGAGAGACTTGTCAACTTCGGAAAATCTCGGTTCAAAACTGAACTGAAAATGCAAGAGTCAGCAAGACTTGCTTTAATTGTTTTCTGTCAGTGTTTATATGTATTGATCTAGCACATGTAAATAACACGAGTTCCATTATAGTAAATGATAAAGAAAGAAATTGAAGGAAAAGAATTAAAGTAAGTCTTGCATTTTCAGTTCAGTTTTGAACAGAGATTTTCAGAAGTTGACAAGTCTCTCTTTCTCGCTCCGCCTCTCCGTGCTACGTAATGTAATGTACACTATAGTGGATCGATATGACAATAAAAGAGAGACTTGGAGCAAGTCTATCCCCGCTAGAGATCCATATTTATCTACACGAGGGGTGCAGGTTTTTCCAATAAGACCACAATATTATTTATACCTTTTCATTACAGCAAGTATTTCATTTCTTCTTTAGTTAACACCAACAATGAAGTCTGATTATAATTTCACTCATACAGATTTTTAAAAGACGTTTTAGACGAGTAAAGTATTTCATTTTTATCAGTTTTATAATATATATTTCAACCAAATGAAAATCTCGGAATAGCGCACATGCCGTTGATACACAAGATGACCAGTTTTGAAAACAGCAGTATCCTGCATTTTTTACCATAATACTTTCATGCCAATTTTATACTTGAGTCAGGGTCTGAAATTTAACCTTTTCTCAGTGTCCCCCTGAGAATCCAGTATCCCACTTCCGGTTAGCATAAATATTATGCACTGTCCCATCCAAATAAGTTTCCATAACTCTCACTGTTACAAATTACAATAACAACCGGAGATTCAATAGTCAACAACTAGACAATTCATTAATTAATACACAAAAATGCACATAAGGCCAAATAAAAAAAACTTCGTTAGCGTCACCGCCCCCCACCTCTCGATTTCTGCCGCCTCTGAAATCTTTTTTATTTTTTTTAATGTAAATCTCTCCGTTTTACAGCTTAAAACAGTTTATTATTGGAAATTTTCCTCATGCTCAGACCTTCCCGCTATATACTGATCGACAGGAGTGTGTGGGCTTGGGTATACAGTACAAGGTTCTTATAGCAAAATGGCGGCCTTCGCAACATCAATACAAAAATATTGCCGATATGGTGGAAAAACTGCCCCCATCCCCCAAAAAATACTATTAAAAATTTAAAAAACGAGTAAAAATTTTAAAAAACGAGCCTGCCCGCCTCTGAAAATTTGTGAGAGTGTGACGCTAACCAAGTTGTTTTTTTTATTTGGCATAATATGAGGAAAGGCCTGGGTGGCAAACTCATAGTATTCAAAAGCTATCAGGAGACTGTCAGAGGTGCTTAACATTTTCCTAATGTTTGAAATTTTCTTAGTATCCAGTTGGGATATAAGTCATTCACAGTTTGGTATCCAAAATCAAATTTTAGTATCCTGTGGATGTCAGGATACTGCAAATTTCAGACCCTGCTTGAGAAACCTGTGACTAGGCCTAAAAAAACCTGTGGCTCCGGTTCCCAACCGACCATATTATTTCTGTCGACCCTATTATTTTTTTCAACACAATTTACCGTGCGACCCTATTTTCTCCGGGTGGAATACCTGTGGTTCCGGTTGCCGACCAACCTGATTTTTCCCTGCCGACCCTATTATTTTTTCAACACAATTGACCGTGCGACCCTCTTTTCTCCGGGTGGTTGTGGGTTGCTGCCAAAATGGCATCTGTTGTGACACTAATTATTGAAAAAAAAATTTAAAACATTTTTTTTTCGCGATATGAAACCGGAACCACAGGCATTTTTTTAGGCCTTGCGGGCTGCTCATACAGTGTGCCAAAATGGTGTCTGTTGTCACAATAATTATGGAACCAAATTGCCAAAATCCGTCCATAGGAACTACGCATCTCTAGTTAATATTGATGTTGGGACTCTACTGAAAATCGCCCAGCAAAAAAAAAAACACACCAAAACCATGAAAAAAATATTTAAAAAAAAAATTATTTCCGACCTACCTACCCTAATTTTTTCACAATATGAAACCAGAACCACAGGTATTTTTTTAGGCCCTATCATTATACCGAAAAGCACTAATAATCAGTGACCTTTTATTTCATATATCACTGCTGCACAAGTAAGTTAGCCACATTGCATTTCTAAACCTTCGCACCGACAAACAAACCTTCCTCACAAAATGTAAAGAACGTTATAATATCGCTAGAACCTTTTCACAAGTTTTTGTTGAGTAACGGGCAACAATTACGTACGAATGCAATTTGAAGCTTTTATAGATATAGAATAGCTTCATTTTTTCAACCAATACGTTGCTAGAACCTGAGAACCATCTCATAAAGTCTTTCTCCCAATCAACATGTTTGCAAATCGAAACTTTAAAACAGTAAGGCTGCGAAACCGATGAAAATACTACACATGATACCCATAAAAACATTACAAATACATACCCTCCATATCCTCCTTTGTCACCATAACCACGGTCGCCACGACTACCATATGAACCACCACCACTGTTACCATAGCGATCATCACCACCGCGACTGTAACCACCACCACTGCCGCGATCACCACCACTATAACCTCTGTCTCCACCACCATAACTACCATCTCTCTGGTCAGATCTACCATACTGTTGCTGGTCACCACCAGATTTATAACTACCTTGACCACCTGATTGACCTTGACCACCTGATTGACCTTGACCACCTGATTGACCATACCCACCGGACTGACCACCATAGCTTTGACCATAACCAGTTGATGCTACGGGTGTAGTCGCTGGTGGGTTGTTACTATTACCATAAGCTTGGTACCCACTTTGTTGGTAGCCAGTTTGCTGTGTGGCACTACCATACTGTCCAGTGGTCGACACTTGCTGATAAGTGTTTGTAGTTTGCGTGCTAGGGTATGCCGGTTGCTGGCCATACCCTGCATGCGTATAACCACTCTGCTGGTACGTATTAGCCTGGCTGTATGCGGTACTCGATGGCTGTGTTGTAGCAGTACCATACGCTGCTGTTTGGTAACCAGTGGTACCACCAGCCTGTTGTTGGTAGCCACCATACGATTGTTGAGTGGGGGCACCATACCTAGAACATATACAGGGTGTAAATACGAGGGTTACACTAAACACCTACCATAGCCGTAAAGCTAACCTAACCACTAACCATAACGCTAACCCAAACCTAACTTCTAACCATGGGAACATAATTTTACACACCGCTAAACGCAGTGGCGAGGTATTCTAGGGGGCTTCGGTGGCGAAGTGGTTAGCGCACTTGCCTTTCACCTCTAAGGCCGCAGGTTCGAATCTCAGTGAGAACTTCTCAATGTGACTCGAACCCAGTCCTCATGCGAAAAAAGTAAAAGTCAACGCTCTGCCGAAAGTCGTGGGTTTTCTCCGGGTACTCCGTGTTTCCTCCCACAGGGAAAGTTGACAGGGTGGGTTAGGCACATAGGTCTGGAGGCAGATCATTAATGAGGTATGGACAAATAGCGGCTGCTCAAGCGCCATTTGTAAGCTCAAAGTCTACCTCGGTCTGCTTCACGTCAGTCCGGTTCTATCTATCTAGCTATTCATAAAAATTATGTAACCAGTCACTGAAAAGCCCTGATAGGGAGTGTGCTGTGAAATATCTGTACCTGTATCTGTATTCTAGAACCGAGCCTACAAGTGTTAACAGAAGCTACAATGAAAGCTCTTGCAAAACAAGTCAGCAATAAGAAACCTTACCCTTGTGCTCCATAGCCTTGCTGTGCTCCTGCTGTTGGTGCAGGGCCGTATGATGAATCTAAAAACAATGGATGATATCATAAAACAAAATCATAAAATACGGTACATATAAAATGTTGTCATCGTTTTACAGTGCAACATGCAGATGGCTTCAAAACCACAAGCATTTTACAGCTCGATTCTATGTATTTTAACTTGTACCTACTAAAATTCCAGTAATGTTAATAAAAAGAGTATTATAACGGTCTACATTCGTACGGTTGGCAGTAAACATTAGTCAATATGGTGTATATTTCCCCCAGCAAACAAATACACAAGTCAAGGTGTTTATGGGCAGGTGTTTAGATGTGCCCACTAAACCACTCAAAAACGCCTAAATTTCAGCAACAAATTCTACATTAAACATCTATGAAGGTGAAGAAGCAGATAAAGACACAACTTACATTGTTGATCGGTCATTTTAGTTGAGGAAATAGACAATTTCGTGCAAAATATAAACCTTGTCAACCAAACCACGAGGTGTATTCGAGAAACGATTTTGGCGTCGCAAGCTGGTTCACCGTTCACGTCACGTCATGTCATGTGTCACGCATACGTTGGTGCACGGCACGTTCCGACAGAAAACGATACTTTCCGAAACACATTAGATGTACCGTCGTTTGCATCTAACAATGAACATATTTAGTAACTTTTAATTAAACTTTTAACCTGAAGATGGAGTTATACTCCGAAACTTAGTTATTAAAATAATTTTTACTAAGCCTATGGTCTAATTATTCAAACACAGAATTACTAAAATGCGGCTTAAGCCCCGTTTACACTACGCTCAATTTTTGGTACGGCACGGATAAAATTGGTACCCATACCACTTTTTTGGTTCTTGGACTACCTATTTAGGTAGTAGTCCAAGAACCAAACGGGGCTCAAAATATAGGTAGTCCAAGAACCAAAAAAGTGGTACGGGTACCAATTTTATCCGTGCCGTACCAAAAATTGAGCGTAGTGTATTAAAACGGGGCTTTAGAGAAAGTTCCATCACACAATATTTGAAGTCAATACAGTCGCAGATAAAAATTCATATGAAAATAAAAAGAAAATTGAATGTACGTTCTAATCAATGATTCGCGACTGTTGTTTATGAGGGACTATGGGGTGAATAGGTTTTCCGATTGTCGGATTTCACAGAAAAAATTGTTCGGATTTCGGATCTGGCGAATATTTTACACGGATTTGCGGATCTTATTAATACAGCGGATTGCGGATTTATCTAATATTTTGGCTCGGATTGTGGATTTAGCTTGCAATTTAGTTCGGATCCTGGATTGTGACTTCATAGTAGAGCTTTTAGCGGATTCAAATTTAGACATGACCATTGTCGAATCGCGGATTTTGCTTCAAATTTGGGCGGATTGGCGGATTTGTATACCCCTATTCACCCCTCTCGACTATGAATCTGAATTGAATCCCCGGACTTGGAAATCAATCTGCTTGACTTGAGATTCACTAGTATGAAGGCCACAGTAATTGGTTTTTATACATTTTGTAGCCCTGCCACTCTTTTATGTGGTAAAGTTAAAATAAACAAAAAAATTTTCACGCTAATTCCAGCCAGTGATTCCCGGCATGGCTTCGAACCTCCGTCACAAACTCAGTGCTTCGAACGCACGCGTGCAAAAAGCGCACGTTGAACACGTCATTTTACTGCAACTGTTGACGAAAAACTAAATTTTAAATTTCTAACGTTAGTATCCAGTTTGGAAACGTAATTTATTTTAAACAAAATTTACTGGTAACAAACTGAAGTTGTTACTCTACGAAGGTTGTTATCCGCCAAAAAAAGTTTCGTTTCTGCAACAACATGAAAATAGGAGGTAAAGTTAATTTGGTCGTTTAGTTGAATAATTTCAAACAGTTACCTTCGTTTATTCTATGCTTACGATATCAGAACAGTGGTAACTAGACATGCGAGTTATCTGAAAATGTGAATTTGGTGAAACAGGAAATAAACATGCTCTCCTCAGGTTTATTGACCTTTACCGTTTAAAATTTTAGGCGCATCACCAAAGTCATTGGTCTTTGAAAACCATCAGTTAAATGACGAGAAATGTGTGCAACGACGAACCTTTGACGAACAAGAAAAATGCAGTACTCAAAAAGATGTTAAAGATCTTAAAGAGAACATATTCGAAGATGATTTTGAACAATTGGCGCGAGAATTAGAATTCGTAGAACATGAAACTGGATTACAAGACGCGTTTTTATTCCTGAAATTTGACAAGTATTATAATTCGTGGAACAAGCCACTAAATTGATACAACTTAATGTATTACACAAAGTATTAGTGAAGATTCGATGTAATTGTAGAATAGAAAACACAACGAATAAAATATAATGATCTAAAAGAAACATTTTATAATTTATAGAACTAAATCATTGTTATTTGATGAGAATGATTCAATGGATAATTTTGTTCATTCATTCAAGAGGAAGAAGAGTTGAAGTAGAAAGCATATAGTCAAGAAATGAATGAGATGTTTTGGACATTTGATTAGAATGGACGATAAAAATTTGAGAGCATGAAAGCAAGTTTGTTTGTTTGTTTGTTTGTTTGTTTGTTTGTTTGTTTGTTTGTTTGTTTGTTTGTTTGTTTGTTTGTTTGTTTGTTTGTTTGTTTGTTTGTTTGCTTGTTTGTTTGTTTGTTTGTTTGTTTGTTTGTTTGTTTGTTTGTTTGTTTGTTTGTTTGTTTGTTTGTTTGTTTGTTTGTTTGTTTGTAAGCGTTATTGAACCATGCAGGGTGATTTCATCAGTCCGATGACGTTTCTCCCAAGAGGACATGGAGAAGACGGACTGAATTATGCTCGAGTGACATGGAGACGATACGCTAAAAGGCTTGATCAAGCTTGATCCCTGTCGTTCAAGTCTATTTCATTTTAAAAAATTTCAATATATACAGTAAAAATTCGAAAATAAAAAATCCGTATACATATATATATTACATATACAACAATTCACTAAAATAATAAAATGTTTATACATTTCAAACTAACTATGGAAAAGTCAAAACTAACTAGAAAAAAATGCGTTTTTGCAACATATCTTATACCGGTTAAAAATTGCAAGTTGAGACTAAGTATTCTACAATTAATTTTGTATCAGTAGTATAGTTAATATTGATATTATAATATTAATACTTGTTAGTGCCAATTGAAAAATACAATCAAATGTAATTGAACAATCAAATATTGATTGGACTAATTATTTTCGTTTTTTACCAATATAAAATTACTTTGTATTAGTGAGTTGTCATAGCTACAGCAAAGTTCTAAGTCGATATATAAACCATGGACGGGTAGTTTTTATTTCAGTCTGGTTAGTCAGCGTTAGTAGTTGATGGTTCATTTCAAATTTTACACTAATACATTATATTCCCTATTAGTGGGTTTCTAGATGTTTTGGCATAGGCATACGAGACAAGGGGGGCAACTGCCTCCCCCCCCCCCCCAAAAAAAGAAAGAAAATCCAACTTTTTTAGAAAACCATGGAAATTCAGGCAAATGCTAGGAAATCAAGAATATTGGGGCAGATTTATCAGGTCATTTCATTCCTCCATAGAAATTCGGGCAAACTTTCAAATGCACCCCCCCCCTCCCCCGAAAGCATCAGCCCCGTACGCCTATGCGTTTAGGAACAAGAAGATTAAACTATGTGTCTCAATTCTATTTGACGTTTCTATTGTAAAAATACATACTTCTTATAAAATTACGTATGATTAGCGTATGTATAATGTATATTAAATTTAAGTTCGTCCATTACACGCTGTATAATAGCAGCAGCTCAAAAGTGGGTTTTGAAAACTGTTTCTTGCTACAAAAGCGGGCTGAATCTGAGCTGTGAGATACTGGGTCCAAGTGGACAGTGAGCACTCTTTATTGCCCCCCCCCCCGCCCTCCTATAAATCCTCCTTAATGCAGATCTTACCCCCTCTCGAAAATATAACTCTCCCCCGTTCCGAAAATACTTGTTAAAGTACATTTGGACCCAGTGCGTCACAGACACTAGCGCCATACCCCTTGCCAGAAGCGCTCGGCCTAGTCTCTGGAGACCACTCGTATTACATGTTCATTGTATACATGTGAGTGTTCGCTGCCGTGTATGCCTGAGTGATAACGTTCTCGTCGCGGCCGCCCACAGAGTTGTATCGCGTCATTTGCTGCGGGTAGGGTGCGGGCCTATGTACGCGGTGGTATCCGCGCTGGGGACCTGGGGATTGGTTAGGTGACGGGTAGTTGTGTGAATTAACTACGCGGTGTATCATGGGATAGTTTGGCGACGAGACGTGGGGTGTGTAAGGCCGATTTAATTCATTTTGAACTAAAAGATAAAATACAAAGCCATGTCAGTATAAAACTAAACTAACACTAGCTGGATAGCTCTATCAGTTCTAAACTGTTCTTCTTATAGTTCCAGTAACAGTCATCTGTTATTGATCCAGTGTTACTACAGGAGGAAACCTAAACTAAACTAACTTTATTTATACTGGATAGTTCTATCAGTTCTAAACTGTTCTCCCTAGAGGTCCAGTAAGTATCATCTCTTATTGATCCAGTGTTACTACAGGAGGAAACCTAAACTAAACTAACTTTATTCATACAGGATAGCTCTATCAGTTCTAAACTGTTCTCTCTAGAGGTCCAGTATGGATCATCTCTTATTGATCCAGTTTTACTACAGGAGGAAACCTAAAGTAAACTAACATTATTCATACAAGGTAGCTCTATCAGTTGTAAACTGGTTCTCCCTAGAGGTCCAGTAAGAATCATCTCTTATTGATCCAGTTTTACTGCAGGAGAAAACCTAAACTAAACTAACTTTATTCATACAAAATAGTTCTATCAGTTCTAAACTGTTCTCTCTAGAGGTCCAGTAAGCGACATTCCTTATCTGTCCAGTACAAGAGGAAAACAAAGTACCCTGAGAAATGCTGTAGTTTCTGGTAAAGTCAAACTGGAAACACTTTGAGATGAAATTACAATCAGACAACTGCATATTGCAAGAATAAAATTCTGTCACAGAGGCGAAACTGAAATTAAGAAATTACGTCATTTACCAGTATTCGTGTCATTCATCGTCATAGCAGCTGTTGTCGTGAGCGCAACAGAACACTGCGGCCGCGAGACTGGTTCAGGAGACTGGTGCGGAATGTTAGATGGTAACCGAGATCGTGGTTGTTGATGGGATATATTATTGTCCAATTGCTTCATGACATCAACCACATTACTATAGAAAAAGTTTTAATAAGATATAAATATATTTAATAAACATTCTTGATTCCCTACTACACTTGTGAAACTCATTAATAATTCATGAAGAAAACACAAAAGAAATCATGAGCGTGAAGCAGTTTGTATATCTGATACAGAATCATGCTGGAGGATCATCTCTTCAATGTCCAGTGTTACTACAGAAGGAAACCTAAACTAAACTAAACTAAACTAATTTTATTTTAACTGGATAGCTCCATCAGTTCTAAACAGTTCTCTCTAGAGGTCCAGTAAGGATCATCTCGTATTATCCAGTGTTAATACTACAGGAGGAAACCTAAACTAAAC